ATATTTTCCTGGGAGTGGACGATTACTTGTGTCTGTGCGTTTTTTCCCTCCTGAGAGAGAGCGAGAGAGAGCGAGAGAGAGAGCGAGAGAGGCGGCGGCGCCCCATCGCCGGCAGCCGCAGCGCGTCTGCCAGCGGCAGCCTGCCGCCGTCACGGGGCAGGGGTGCGGCGGAGCGCCGGGCGAACCGCGGGCGGCGCGGGGCAGCGCGTGCGGACACACGGCAGGCAGCAGGGCGCCGCGAGGGCGCCGCAGGGGGGGCGCTGGGGCGCCGCGGGCAGGCTGGAACGAGGGAGGGGGCGCGCGGAACGAGGGGCACTAGGCGGCGAGCCAGGGGGGGAAGTGAGAGGGGGCGTGCCTTCTCAGACGGCTCGGAAGTCCCCCGGCCTTCTGAGAAGTTTTCTAAGCCTTCCCCGGAGAAGTTTTCTAAGCCTTCTAAGTTCAGAAGGCCAGAGGCCTTCTGAGAAGTCCCGCCTTCTTCTGAGAAGGCCTTCTCCTTCTCATTTCCCCCCCTCGCTCGCCGCCGAGGTACGGAAGAGCTGATGTGTCAGATAACGTGCGCATGTGATGCACACGAAGACCTTCAAGCCCCGCGTGAACGTCCGGCCTCTCCGCAGGCCCCAGGGGCCTGCAGGAGCTCGGGGGGCACCGCGGGAACCTCAAAGGCCGACGGAGAGCGTGCCTCGAGATCTCCCGCAGCGACGTGCATCGTCGCACGCGCCCGCTGCAGGAGGGGGAGATACCCGAAAGCGGGCACGGCTGCGAGTCTCGCAACCTTGCCCAGGGCTGGGGGCGCACTTTCGTGGGGCTGCGCGGAGGGCCCTGGGCGACTGCCCGAGAGCTAAAACCCCACTGGCCAGGGGACACGGATCACCGCAACGCCCGCCCAGGCATGGTCGCGTCGGCGAGAAAATCACGACGGGAGATGCTTGGCCGCTCCCTCAAACGAAGCCAGGACGAGGGCAACATCGGGACAGGATAAGCTGAGAAGCTTTGAGTTCGGGCGGCTTTGGAAGACGTCTCGGGCGCTGCGGCCTTCTCAAGGCGTTCCGGGGCGCTCTGAAAGCGCTCTGGAAGGCTCTGGAACGGATTTATCCTCGTCATGACCCCGTCCGATTTTTCGGACTTGGGGGCCCCCGCCGGGACCCGGGGCAATGGAGCACCTGCCCCTGGGAAAGGTCGGGACTCGTGGGGGCCCCGTGCTGGACAAATCTGGACGTCGCATGTCTGGGCGTGGAGGAGGAGAGCGGGCGGATGAGCAAGAGAAGTGTCTTCAGATGAAGTAAGACGCGGCGTGGAACACCAGCCCTCCTCCAGTCCCTCTACGGAGTTTAGGCCGAGGGAGAGGAGGAGAAGGAGGAGGAGGAGGAGGGACCTTGGGTGCTTTTGCTTTTACCAGTTAAAAACCCTAGCTTATGTGCCATTATGAGTTTTCTTCTCTGCTGGCCCACACTTGGTCCTCTGGGCTGTGGCTTATGTGCCTCACCCCCCCAGTAGCCTTCTCACGAGGAGCTTTCGAGGAATGCCTGACCTGACCTGACCTGACCTGACCTGACCTCCTCCTCCTCTTCCTCCTCCTCCTCCTCCTCCTCCTCCCCCCTTCTCTTCCCCTTCCCCATACCCCCGACGTCCTGACTCGGTCAGAATGTCGACCTCAAAAGGTCGCGACCGACTGCCCTGGACCAGTTCTTCATCCCGAGTCGCTCCTGGACGGCCCCGAGGCCCCGTGGGGGGCTCCTGGAGGCCGACAATAGCGAAAGACCTCCCTGTCGTGATTCGTGTTGGTCCATGACTCGAGGGGTCTGGCAGGAGAGCCCAGAATCGGATCGACAAGTCGGATCGGCAATCGAAATGAATCGGATCGGCGGAAATCGGCAGCCGAATCGGGAAAAGTCGCATCGGCTGAAATTGGCAGGCTAGTAGGCCTCCAATAAGAAATCGGAGCCCAAGTCGGAATCTCAAGTCGAATCGAATCGGAATCGGAAGTCATCGAAATCGAATCGAATCGAATCGGAGGAATCGAAACGAGCCCTGGTCTGGGCCCTCCTCCTCGAGGACGGCAGGCGGGGGACGCCTGCGGCTGTACAGGTGCTCCGTCTGCGGCGCGCCGCGCGTCTGCTCCGCGCCGCCGCCGCCGCGCGGCGTGGGCGCCGAGGGCAACCGGCGGGGGCGGGAGGTCGAGCGGGACGGGCGCGGAAAGAGCTCGGAGGCGACTCCTCCTCCTCCTCCTCCTCCTCCTCCTCCTCCTCCTCCTCCTCATCTCCTCCTCCTCCTCCTCTTCCTCCTCCTCTTCCTCTTCCTCCTCCTCCTCCTCCTCCTCCTCCTCCTCCTCCTCCTCCTCCTCCTCCTCCTCTCCTACTCCGTTCCTCCCCCCCCGCCTTCTGGGCGCAGCTGCCCGGACACGCGGCACGCAGCCCGTGGCGTGTTGACGCGGAGCTCGGAGCGTGGCGCGACAGCGTGGGCCCGGTGCGAGGCACGCAGCGTGTCAGCACGGACATGTTGAACACGGTACGTGCTGCGTCTCAACACGGGCGTATCGGGGCAGCTAGGCTTCGGGAGGGTCTTTGTACAGTGTGCTGCCATCCGGAACGTCAAATGAGGAACCGAGGGGCTTTTCTGGCCACGGCGAGCCTCGGCCACGAGGAGTGTCCCCGATCTGGATCGAAAGGACGACCCGAACATCAGAGCCCCTCCTGAGCCCAACATGGTCCTTATTTCGGCGTCTTGGCTGTAAAACACTACTAAGGCCGTTCGCATTCAGGGGCCATGTAGCCAGACTGGGCCGGATTCAACGCGGGATGGACCACAAAGAAACATAGATGGCCAAACGACACTGCATTGTATCATATTTGACGGGTTGTCAACCATAGATATACCAGCGCCGCTGCTGAATGTGACCTCCCAGGAGTTGCAGCCTACATGAGGAAGACTCATACAATACCCCCTCGCTTCGTGACAGCCTCACAACTGAAAGTGTTCGGCAATGTTTGGCACATGGGAGTCCTCACCAGGCTCCAGGAGCGTAAACAACGGCTCGGGATGAAAAACTGGATCCAGATCTCGGAGGTCCACGCTGAGAGAAAACACTGGTGGGTCGGAGTCCTTGTGTGGAGCAGAAATGGGTCAAGCACAGACATGAGAAGGTGGATGGAAAGAGGAAGGAGAGTATGACCAGAAGGAGAGCGTGGAGCGGGATGGAGAGCTGCACAAGCAACAGCAGGATCTTAGGATGAGCATTGGCAAGATCATGGTAGCCAGTGGTATTGTTCCACCTGCACGCTGTGCCAAGATTTGTCTCCCATTTTGGAATGGCCGCATCTGACGAGCACATGGATGACAACAATTGGCAGACGCTTATAACTGGATCGCGGCGGCGTGCCATCTCAACTACTGCATTGCATTGGCAATGCCAGAAGCAACTTATGTATGTTGTAGGTGTACAACCAAAATCTATTAGGCAGACGGCGTGAATGGATGGGGGCTGGCCTCGGTACATCACGCATACGGAGGGCGCTCGTGTATGACATTGCAGAGCGGTCGCTAGAGCGTCGGAGTGCGAGATCGGTGGCGGCATGAGCAAGCAAAACTGACCGCATGGGCGCCAGCATAACCATGTCGGGGTCCAACAACACAACCCACGTACGGTGGTGCAGCGGCTGGAGATGAAGGGATCGCGAAGTCAATCAGTGGTAGGCATCTGCACGAAACTGCTCGCAATAAGCTTGTTCACGCACGGGAGACATAACACATAATTCGAATGAAGCCAGGATTAGCAGGTGGGCATGCAACCTCCATCGGCAAATGCACCTTTTCACTTGAGTTGAATGCATCAAACCAAACAACTCCGTGACGTCGCCAAGGCGAGAAAATGATAAAACACACGTGCGCATGTGCGAACAATTCTCATTGACAATATCCCCGGCATTACCATATCCACCAGCACCGTGCTCGTCGTCGTGGTGATTATCATGATCATCTGGACCACCATGATGTCATCGGTCCGCACTCGTTGCTGCCACCGCTACTGTGATGATCCATGGGAACATATGGTTTCGAGAGTGTGTTGTTCCACCCCCCTTCTTCCCAAGGTGACAGAGGCTCAAGATAACCGAAGATGGTTCCACGATAGCCCTAGGGAGCCTCCAGGATCGTCCAATCTAGCATCCAACATGCCTCCAAGAAGCTCCAAGACCGCCCTAAGACGGCTCCAAGTGCCCACTGAGCCTCCGAGGACGCCCCCGAGAGACCCACATTGTTAAAACACGGTGGGAATTCAATGTGTGTTGCCATCTCACATGTTTTCTTTAGGTGAGCGTTTGAGGCCTCAAGATGGCTACAATATCCCAAGGGAGCCCACAGAGGCGCGTAGCAAGGCTCCAAGACAGCCCCAAGAGCGCCCAAGAAGGCTCAAAGAAGTGATTGCCAGGCATTCAGCAGGGGGCTGCAATTAAAACCGCCCTCTTTTTTGGCGGTTTTCCCCCACGATGGAACCAAGTCTCCCCCAAATGCCCCAAATAAGATACCAATAAGGCCTCCAAGGCCATCGAAACATCCCCAACAGAGCCACAATATTACCCCAACAGGTCTCCGCCGTTGGCCTCTTTGCTTCACGATGGTTTCTCGATGTCTCTCCTGGCGACGCTTCGCCTGGGCACCGTTTTTGGACGGGCTGGTGGGAATACGCGAAGCATTAGGGATGTCAGCCATGGAAAATACAGCGGCTATCAACTTTTGACTGTCGTTGCATCCCCCCGCTTCCATGAACGTTCTACTGGCCTCTGCCCTCCCCCTCTCGTGGATATGTGTGGAATACTCCACTCCCAGCGTAGTCGATATATATATATAGAGAGAGGGAAATGAGATGAGGGATTCGAGGTCTCTCGAGCGACTGATAACACATAGTGCAGCAGTCATTCGCCGTCCATCTATCTTACCGAAGGAAAGGGCTTCCTAAGCCTTAGCCTGATCTCGGTCCGTTCCTCACGACGGCGACGGCTACAACATCACAGATATGGAGCAGGGGGCTCGACAAGAGGCAACATCAAATTGAGCGAACAACATGTGCATGCAGCCTGCGTCTTGACCCATTCGGCGATGGAGTGCGGCCTGTTGTACGGCCTCGATCTCTGCTGATCGCACGGTACTGATGACCGTAGCAAAAAAAAAGATTGTCCATACAACTGCATGGCGTGCAAGTGTCCTCGTTTGATCGCGATATTGGCATCGTGCTAAGCTCTCTGGTGCACGAAGCCATGAATATCCCCCAAACCGCGCTTGCAGTAAGGGGTTCTTGATTGAATTGATAAGTCAGTCGGTGGGTCTGCTGAGGTCTCGCAATATGGCTACGTGATCAGCCACTATGTTGAGAATTGACTCGAGCTGCAACGCACATCTGCTGCGATCCTTGTTGTGCGCTTGAAATCGCACCTCACCTGATCCTCCCAACGCCTGCAGACGCAAGCAGACGTACCGTGACGGAACCTGTAACGCCGCGCTGAACTTGGCGGCGTGCGAACTGTGTTTGGAACTCAGCTGACGAAGGAAACGAAGTCGAAGCCTAAATGCCTTCGGACAGGACCGTGCGCCTCCGCTATGCTCCTTTCCCTCACTTCATCATGCAGCTCTGGCGGCTGCCTCGAACATCCTCCAAGACATCTAACATCCGGAGCCCCCCGCGGCATATTCACCATCTTTTTTTGTTGCCCACGGCGTGAAAAGCTAAATGCAGGTAAACTCTACGCTAAGCCAGTTGACAGGGACCTCTCGCATCTCGATTTGACCCGCGGCGTCGGATCTATTGCCCCATGGCCTCGCACAGCAAATTCTACCCATAGCTTCCAAAAGGATGCTGCCACGGTTCCTCACGTGCAGGAAACACATGAGAGGATGTCTCACAGAGAGGTTGCTCTGGGAAAGAGGGCAGAGGAGAAGACAACGATCCAAAGACACGCGGGAGTTTAGCTACTGGTTGCAATTGTAGCGCCCTGCACGTAGCACCAACTCTTCTCCCGGTTGGCTTGGCGCAGCAGCCCTCGTAGGCCACCATGGGGCCAGTGCCATTATCGCCAGCGTAGTCCCGGGTGAGCATGCAGCCGCAGACACCCACTGCGCCCATCACGCTACTGACCAAGACCGCACAAAGGACGGTGGCGAGCTCCATCGCGATTAATTTGGTCATCGCTGCCTAGCGCGCCAAGGGCGCTAGGGACTGACGGCTGGATCTTGAGAAGGGCGTCGCTAACGCTTCGCTCAAACCAAGACTTGATATGCTCATCACCTTTTTTAAGCTCCTCGGCATGCTAGCACTGCTGAATATCATGGCCAACTTTGTGCTGGGCATCTCGAGTTATACGTCGCGTGTGTACACATCGCGCCGCGTCAGGCGCCGCGTTAGATCCGGACGCCCCTGGCGTTCCAGAGCATTTCCGCACGCACATGGTTTCTGCTGGGTGTTGGCTCCGTCGGCGTTCCGTTGCCAGGCACTCGTGCGCACACGCGCACGCACACATACACAAACGTACACGCAGACACACACACACAAACAAACAAACAAACAAACATCAAATAAACAAACACACACATATACAAACACACACACACACACACTCACACAACTGCAGCCATAAGAGAGCACAGTAACACACCTCGTTGCGGCCCCCAGTGCAGCAGCCACAAACACAGCGTACGTTCTGGATATGGCCTGAGCCTTGATATCCGTATGGTCGCTCACATCCTTGCAAACGAACTCCCGACAAGTCCCCAGACACAAGCGAATCTTCAGGGGGGCAGCCCGCCGCGCATGAGCGTGACAGGCAACTTCCAGATGTCAATGCCTATCTCCTCTCGGCCCAGTGCATCTGCCATGTCAGTCAGTCAATCAGTCAAGCCTGGCGCCCACACGGCGCATTGGCATATGAATAATGTATGACTTGAACGCTCGGAGATGGAAGGGGGGAGGAGCGGGACAAGAGGAGGACGAGGAAGGGGAGGAGGGAAAGAAACGCTAGAGCCAATGATCGTCGCATTGGTTGCATCGTTGCATCTGTCATGTCACTCGCCAAATCCTCTGAAACGGAATCACCTTGCGAAAGCAAGGGCCGTCAGTCCTCGAAGATGCCTTCACATGGACTTATCGACGCCGTGAGCTTGAAGGGGCAGCCAGGGGGTGTGAGCTGGTTGGGCCCCGAGAAAGTCGGTGAAGAACAGAAGCACTGGGAAGGAGCTTCGCAAGCGCTTGCTCCATCCGGTGCGTCTTCTCACTCCGGGGCGGCCCCCGGGGACAGAAAAGGCAGGGCGCCTGGTCAAATCCAGCACCTCGAACCTGCCCCCCCCCCCTTCTGCTGGCCGGAACCAGTGCTGGGCCACCTCGGGCTCCCAGCCGACTTCGACCGTCCACGACTGCGAGACCGAGGGGGGGAGAAGCAGGCGACGATCGCCAGGCGGCTTGGCCGAGCGCGCGGGCAGCGCGGGACCGCCGCGACTGTTGGCGGCGCGATCGGTCCAGCCGCCGAGCTCGCGGCGGGTAGGTGTCGTTGAGCTCCTCGTTCCGCACGTGCGCCCCCGTGAAGAAGAGCAGGGGGGCCCGCTGGCCGTTGGCCCTGACCGCGCCCCCGCGCGGAGATGGCGACAAGGACGAGATAAGTGCCTCGGTTCGGCGGCGAGCGAGGGGTGAAACGAGAAGGAGAATGCTTTCTCAGAAGGTTCGGAAGTCCCCCGGTCTTCTGACAAGTGTTCTAAGCCTTCCCCGAAAACAAAAACTTCTCGGAAGGCGCGAGGGTTTCTGAGAAGTCCCGCCGCCTTCTGAGAAGGTCTTCTCCTTCTCATTTCCCCCCCTCGCTCGCCGCCGAAAGACACCAGCATCCTCCACAGCCATCCGTGCAACGGAAATCGCGACGCTGGGGCACACTGCGGCCCAGAGAGCGGCTCGGCGAAGGAGAGCGGCCGCGTGCGAGGCTGCCCTGAAGAACCACCTGAGCGGCTGCGCCGTCACGGACGCGGGCGACGACATCAGATTCATCGTCATGGAGGTCCCCAGCGTCAGGAGCTGTCCGCCAAGCCCGGCGCGTCTAACCGGCAATTAGACCAACAACGTGTGCGGCAACCCGCTGTGCTACGAGCTGCCGTCGCCCATCCCCGCAGAGCTCGGCTTCCTCCACCTCCCGCCGTTCGTCCCCGCCATCCCCGTCGGCATCGTGAACGCGGGGGAGGGCGCCGCCACCCGCGCCCGTGGCACCCCTTCGCCTCGTGCTCGGCCTGGCTGACCTCGTCAACAACCATCCCCGCGACGACGGAGGGGATGCGGACGACGAGGACGGGGCCTTCACGGAGAAAGATGAGGAGGACAACGGCCCGGCCGACGCCCCTCCCGACGCCCCACACGATGACGAGGCCCTACCCTACGACCAGCCCGACGCCCCCCGCTGGATGAAGGCAGCAACATGGGACTTGGAGGACCCGACACGACCTCGACTGGGAGTTCCAGGACATCTACGAGCCCCAGGCGGAGGCCGGAGCCAAGCGGCGCCGACAACAGGTGCGCGCCGCCCAAAGACCCGGCGCGCCGACAACAGGTGCGCTTCCAGAAGGACGTCGGCCTCTGATCGTCCGTGCTGGCCTCCCCTCTCCACCCTCCTGTGTGCCCTCCCCTCTCTTCTGCTCCCAGTCTCCCTCCCCCCGGGCTCCGCCGTCTCCGCCCCCTCGCCCCCTCTCCCTCACCCGCGCTGCTGACCGCAGGGATCGGTCAAACAAGAGGCCTGGCTACGACCGCAGCTCGAGCACGCCAAGCACAAGGCCCCACACTCAGACACCCGGCTCGAGGGATCTGGCCGTTCACTCTCCACCTGGACGTTCAGCCAGTCTATAGCTGCGCAGCCACTCCCGAATCCCAGAACTTAGCCGTTCAGCACAGGCCCGCTCATACATAGCTGTGGGAGGGGATGGTGTTGAATACGAAGCGGAGGAGGAGAAGTGGTTCGGCCACTCCCGAATCCCAGAACCCGGCCGTTCAACACAAACCCGCTTACAACTGTTCTGCCACTCCCGCATCCCGGAACCCAGCCGCTCAGTGTCCCCGACCGATATTTGCCTGCGCGTCTGCATCCCAGCCAGCGGACCCTTCCTCCCTTCCGACCTCCCTCGTGTCATGTTCCCTCCCTCCCCCCCCAATCCCGATCAGAGGAGGAGGAGGAGGAGGAGGAGGAGGAGGAGGAGGATCTCGCGTCGCTGCTGCAGTCCACCCAGGGCCCTGATGCGGCTCCGCTGAGAGAGCGGCCTCGCGAGCCAGCCTCACGAGAAACCAATGTCCCGAGGCAACCCGCACTCAGCCTCACACCGATGACGCCCTATGCTAACCGTGGCCCTGTCTAGTACAAGCCTTTCCGTATGGGGGCCCTGACAGGAGTCCCACACCAATTTTCTAACTTTTTCCTTGCCGCCCCCGCCCCCATCCCCCAAGCGAGGCTGGGGAAGAAGTTGACGGGCAGGAGTGTGGGCCACAGCTCTTCGAAGAACGCTTCCAGCCGCCAGCCGCGTCCCCGGAACGGGAGGGCGGGCATACGGGTGAAGGGAATGGAGGAGCAGCCAGCGGTGCAGGTTATGACCCCCCCCATGGCCCGCCTTCTTGGGACCTGTCCAGGTCGGCTCCTCGTCTGGAATGTGGCCGCACTATCGGGGGGGGGGGCGCTTGGGGGGTCCACTTGGTTGCCGGAACCTCTCTCTCCTCTCGCCCGCTCCTCCTCGGCGTTGCGCATGCTCTCCTTCTCCTCCTTGCAACTCTCGCTCCTCCTCCTCCTCCTCCTCCTCCTCCTCCTCCTGCTGCTGTGTCCTCCTGTGTCGTCCCTGTCCTCGTTCTCCCTCCAACCTGGGGTAGCCCCCCTTTTGGTTGTGCTGCCAACCCCTTTTATAGCGCCCGCCCCCCGCCAGCCGCCAGCGATGCTTTGCAGCCGGGACCGGGAGGGGCGGGGGCGAGGGCAGCTTCTGACAAGGATCAAATGTTCGCAGTCCCAGTCACGGATGAGGAAGAAGAGGAGGGAGACGACGTGGACGAGGAGGAGGAAACCGAGGAGGAGGAGGAGGACGAGGAGGAGGAGGAGAAGAAGCAGCAACAGCACCTCCCCGGTGGGCGCGCCGCGGGAACAGCGCGGCGTGCGAGTGAAGGCGCTCGGCCTGCTCGTCGCTGCTGCACCCGCTGATGAGCCTCGCGGGCGGCCCCCCCGCGGGAAGGCCGCCCCGATGTGTTTATGGGGTTAGAGCACAAAGGTACAGAACCCCTGGTCCGTAGGTAGAGGAAGAAGGGAAATATAGGGATCTTCTCTTCCTTGCGACCAGCGTCCTGGTCTCTTCCAGTACCTGAGCCGATAAGGCAGGCAAAAGGGCGAGTGAGAAATAGAGATGAGGGTATGAGACGGGTTCCTTTCACACGATGTGCCCGCTGTGCCTGAACCTGGCGGACTCGATCCATGATGAGAGGAAGACGCACTCACCCACAACTCAATATGGGCTGGACCTAAGCGGTGTTGTTCGGTCTGTGTTTGTTCTCTTGTTCGTTTTGCTCTGCTTGCTTTCCTGTATCTCCCAGCCAAAACGAAAATCAAAACACAGTCGAAGTCCAGCGAAACAGCGTTTAGGTCCAGCACTGCGACTCAAAGCGATAGGGAGGCTGAATGGGGAAGGGCAAAGCGATGAAGGCGCTATAGGTTCAATGGGTGTGCATTTCCGGACCCCGAGGGGGGCTCCCGTTCGGGCGGGGACCCCCATCCGACAACACACACACACACACACACACGTCGTCGGCAGGAATCCCACCCCGAGAAATCTGGAGGTCGCATAGGCATGGTTGCGGGCTGTCAGCTCATGAACTCAGCATGTGTGACGGAACCTTTCATGACAGCACGCACGCGCAAACCCGCACGAACTGAGCGACAATGTTTGTACTGCCCGCCGCCGACAATCCTCCAGAGTCGCCAGCCTTGCGGGACGAGGGAGAGTGCGACGACGCCAGGGGCTCCGCGGCATTGCTGGCCCAAAGGGAAAACAAAAAGTGCGACAAACAATCGTTGCTTCGCGGCCGCGATTCCGCAAAGTTGCTGGCGTAGCATGATGGGTGTGTGGGGGGGAGGTGAAATGTGCCAATGATCTCGTCAATGACTTCGCAAAATTGTTTATCCGCACGGGGGCGGTGAGCGAGACTAATCCGAAGAGACGGCCAGATTCAACCATCTTCCGCGATGTTTCACTGCGCTGTGGGTGGGTATGGTGAATACAGCATAAGCCAAGTTCTATCGGGGGGGGCGCGACAGCGCGCAGGTGGGTGGACTGATCAAAGCAAAACGAGATCACGCTATGTTTGTCACGAGCGTGGTGGGGTCGAAATCCAGACGCGCCCCTGGTGATGGAAGGAGGAAGGATGGAAGAGGAGGAGGAGGAGGAGGAGGATTAGGAACGCGCCCCAACCGAGCATGTGATAGGTAGACGACCGATCACATGACTGAGTGCGACTGTGCAGACACTTCCTTACGCATTGTTTCGGGGACCGCATCGAGGAAACAGTGGAACATCAAAAACAAGCTTCAGGAAACAGTGGAACATCGAGGAAACAGTGGAACAGGAAACAGTGGAAACAGTGGAATATCCAGCGACAGAATTCTAGCTTGGCGTCCAAAAGGGGGGGGTCTGCCCGAATCGTAGCATTCCTGGCCACGCGCGACGCCTCCCACTTTCCACGCAGCGATTGGAGGGAGAGACCCACGAAGGGAAGGAGGACGAAACAAGCAGAGTGAAACGGCATACTTAGGAGACTCTCACAGATGAAGCGTCACACAGGCTGATCCTCCAAAGGCTTGGAGAGATGCGCGGCGAAGGCGACAATCTATGGCGCATGACCTCAAATACACTCACCGGGATACTTCACGGCGCGCTCCTTGTAATTGAGATTACCTTTTACGAGTGCCGTGCACCGAATAGGGCTCGTCTGCAATAGCGCCGCCTCGTCCTCGATACGGGCAGAAATGACCATCGCCATTTGCTTGTCCAACACCCGAAATTTAGAACGGTATGCCTTACGACCACGGTGTCTTACCTAGTGTCGGTGGCCCTGGCTTTGATGCGAAGTCGCTGGACTCTACCTGGGATGATTGCTGCGTCTGCGTGACGAACCCTGCAGTCGGCAAGAGCCAAGCCCGCCTGCTTCTTAATCGGCCCACTGACACGATGCGATGCGATACGACCACCGCTGCGGACAGCGTCTGGGCCTAGCGAAGACCAGGTGGGCAAGGCCGTGGCCGCAGAAATCTGGCATGCCACTAAAATTACAAGGAGAATCATGAGTAGCACGAAAAACAATACAAACGGACATCACACATTCCAGCCTTCGAGTATACAACTGCCGACGGAGCTCCTCCTCACCCTCACTGTCTTCATGCAGCGCCACTGCTGGCCCGGGGTGACGAATCTGCCAAATACGGTCACACTTCTTGTGGCGAGTCTGGGGTTAATGATGCAGGGGTGCGTGCGCATTCCAAGTGACGAGCGTGAGGGGACCAGTAGCTTCGCCTCGGAAGTCTTCCTGCATGGTAATTTCGATGTTGGTCCTTGCCAGTGCCGTTGCCGATATTGGCACAGGACACGCAGTCGACGTGATTAATGCCTTTGCTACAATCATGTTTGTACCAACTGTGTGCGTGCAAACCACGATGTAAGGTATGGCCTCCAGACTTCTTTAGTCTGAAAATAATTCATAAGACTTGCCCATCCCGGCGGAAACCCGCGAACTGCGTCAATCAATCGTGTCAACCCAGAGCTGCCTCCAGTTGCCTGCGTCGTCCTTGAGAGCCCTGAGCACAATTTTGTCATTCTGCACCGCACTGTTTGTGTCGACGGCCATCTGGAGCACGAAGCGCCGCCCAAGAAACGCACCTACGTGCGACCTCTGGCTATCCTTAAGCCTGCCAGTTCCAGCCACGAGGCCAGCCTTTACTTGCACATCTTGATCGTGATGTTCACCGTGTAAGGAGCAAGCGTGATCGTCGTGTAGATTTCCATCCCATTCCACCGCTGACTCGTGATCTCTTATGAGGGGTAATGGACTGGGCAATGTACAATGTTTGGGCATCTGCTCCAACTGGCCACGCATTTCTTTTGGAACACGGTCTTGAACATCCTGCCATCGCCGTAGCTCCACCAACTCACCCGACACCTGAAAATTGACTGCCTCCTTCCGAGCAGCCACCGCTGTGACCAATCTCTCAATGTGGGAATTAATCTCCGCAGCCAGGCCACACTGGATGTCTCCGGCTTGCGTATCCACCGAGCGCTCGAAGCCTGAACGGAAGGCAGCCAACAGGGAATCCGGTTCGCGCCGTGTGACTGCAGGCCCACCCCATGCTGCTGGCATGGGTGGCCAGGGCTGCTGTCGATGATCCTCAGAACGTGTGTTAGCCCCAACGTGTGCTGGTCCATCGAGGCCCTTCGATACAATGCAGGCGATGTAACGATCTACTGGTTGGGGTGCAGGAGGATAACACACACACACACATTGGGCTAACACACGACCTGAGGACCATCGATGCTGGGAGACCCCTGCAGCACCTCCTCCACGCCACGGGCCACCTCCACGGGAGGCGAGCGGACCAGCAGCTCTGAGACCACGCCAGGACAAGGACAACATCGGACTGGGACAAGCCCGAGATTTCTGAGATCTGGCGGGCCTGGAAGAGCTAGGCCATCCCGGAGCTCTCGGGAGCGATGCGTCCCGGACCTACGGTCGGAAGCTCTGCTCAGCGTGTCGAGGCGGCGGCCCTGGCCACACGCTATGCCCTGCGAGGCGATACCGTGCCGCTCCGCTCCGCGGGGGGCGAGGCCGGGAACGGTTCGGGACGTGCGACGCTCGGGGGCCGGGGCGTGGATGGCGTGTCGCGCCGCAGCGTGGTGGGCCAAAGCCGGCGCCGCGATGCGCTTCGCCAGAGCTCCCGGCCGCGGCCCCACCCGAGGAGGAGCAGGTCGGGCCCCCGCACGCGCACCGCCCGCAGCCGACGACCGTGCTGCCCCTGCGCACGCCGCCCGCCTTTGCTCGGGGGGCTCGTGGAGCGAGGGGTATCCCAGGGTGGGGCTGGGGAGCGGGCCCGGCCAGATGCTCCCGCTCAACGCGCGCCCTTCCTCCGGGGAGCGCCCGGAGCGATCTGCCCTCCAGCCCCACCTTTGCCCCTGCCCCACCTTTGTTGAAGGGGCCCCAGGACACACAAATAAATACACACAAATAAAAAGATTCCCAATATTTTCCTATATTTTCTGGGTTTCTGTCTTCCCCACCACTTCCCATATTTTCCTATATTTCCTGGGAAATCGACGATTAATTGTGTCTGTGTGTTTTTTTTCCTCCTGATTTGTGCCCCCCCCCCCCCCCCCCCGAGTTGCGCGAACCCTGCGGGCGGGGAACGATCGGCGGCGGTCTGGCCGCCCAGATCTCGGACCGTCTCGCTGGTTCCATCCCGGCGTGCCTCCGATCGACGACGGCCCGCGAGCCCGCTGCCGGGCCCCGGGGCCATCCAGGGGGGGGAGGGCGAAGGAGCGGGGCGGACCGCGAGGACGCAGGAGGAGAGGGGACGGAGCGTCGGCAGGGAGGGGAGGAGGGGAGAAGGAGGAGGAGGAGGAGGACGAGGAGGAGGAGGGAGAGGAGGAGGAAAAGGAGGAGGAGGAGGAGGCGGAGGAGGAAGAAGAGGAGGACGAGGCGGAGGAGGGCTTTTTTGGAACATCGACGCAGAGCTACTCCCAGAGAGGTGGCCTGGACTTTTGGGGCCGCGGATTGAACAAGTCAGGTCGGCGGAGGTCGGGGCGTATGCTTCTCGGGCACGCGGAGCTCCCGATCGACAGGAGCCCCGGCTCGGGCAGGCCAGCTCTGCTGAAAGGATGCCACAAAGCTGGAGCACACGAACATCGACGACGCCGACGCAAAGGCGACGACGACGACGCAACGATGACGGCGACGACGACGACGCGGCGACGACGACGACGACGACGACGACGACGTGTCAGGGCCCGAAGGGCTACGGACGGACCAAGCCGATTTGCAGCTTCGCTTCCAGGAGGCCTCTCTGCAGTTCCACTCGGGCCAGAACAGCCACGGGCCCTCCTGCCTCTTTCCCTCCTCCCCCCTCCCCTCCTCTCCTCCTCCACTCCTCCCCCCTCCTATCCTCTTCTCCTCCACTTCTCCCTGCTCCTCTTCTCCTCTGCCCCTTCCTCCCCTGCTTCCCTTCTCTCTGCTCCCATGTCCGCCCCGCCCTTTGGCCTAGTGACTCCGGTTCCCGGGCCCTGGGCGCGGTAGATGCTCCACAGCAGCGACAGCGACTGCCATTCCTGGTAGCCTGAAGGGGAAGCGATGTAGTGAGGCTGCAGGAGGAATCTACAGAATTGTCCTTGCGCGTTCATGGTGTTTTTGTCGTCGGACCGAAAACAGGAAGCACACGACGACGTTAGGCAGAAAACCAACGACACCCGCCGTACCCAAAACGCGCGGAAAACAACGACCCAAAACACATTAAAAAACGGTAACCTAAAACAGACAACAGACGTCAGAAACGGATAACCGACGAAATACTGTAAATACAAACGATTAAACAACGGATCACAAAACGAACCGGAAACGGCGAGACGGCAATCCCAAAACGGAGAAACACTGCCCAAAACGGAACAACTTCCACAGCATGTTTAAGAACATCTCCGGGCCAGCGTCGATTCTAAGCCGTTTTGGTTCGGGGTCAGTGGGGGCAATGACGTTATGAGAGAGATGTTACTCAGGGAGCGGCATATTCGGTGACCAAGTGGGGAACGATGACCAAGGCAACCGAATATTGAAAAGTGCCCCGGAGAGAACCCGTCCCCCTCAAGCCAGAAACGACGCCACGATGGTAACGGCAACTTGGATGAGGACGCGAAGATGCATCTGGCAACACGCTCAGTCGATGATCTGGCCTGGAACCGACCTGTTCATGCCATTCAGTGTCAGGGTGTGAACGCATCAGCAGACCCCACACACAGAAACATAAGCTGCAAAGGGTGATCCTGCCCCGAGCCGACCCCCTCCACAACCTTCCGCTGCTGGTACCTCGAAATGCCTCAGATGCCAAGAATGGTTGGTGTCGACCCCTGACCACCCAATGTCACATCCCCGCTTCCGGGCAGTGGCTCGGCGTTTTCTGGGCAGCCTATCGGCGCTGCCGGGTCGCAGCTAGCACATCAAGACGCGCGCTTCCGGTCAGATGTGTTCGGTTGGTCTGTGGGCGGCGACGGCGACGCGCCGCGCCTCCGGAAGTCGGCGCTGCTGGGTCGGATGTCCCCACACGCGCTGTCCCGCACCTCGGAGCAGGGCGGCTTGAGACACTGGGAATTCTATATCGGCTCCTGGGCCCCTCCCTGGGTCCACGCGCACCAGCGTTCCGCGCTGCGTCCAGCCATGGCGACGGGGGGGGCCCTCCGAAGGCTAAATACCAATGGCTCGCACTAGGCAAGCGCGTTCCACTTCTCGCGAAGCCACTGCTCGCAAACGGCCTGGATCCGCCGTGGGGGATTTTCGATATATATAGAAATATATATATATATATATATATATATATATATATATATACAAACCGTTTTTCCGCGCACGTGACCACGCCAATGGTCTATTAGCTCGTTTCCCCGCCCCCTCCTGCGTGCTACCGAATCGTCCCTGCCAACAGCCACGCTGCGCCTCACCGACAGCCACGAGGACAGCCCAGGCCCTGGGGGGACGCCCCAACAGCCACGCTGCCCTCCCAGGAACCCCGAGGGCAGCCCATGCCCTGACAGGGAGCACTCGGCCCACACGCACGGGAGGGGGAAACCTGCTAAACCACTTACTCCCCCCTTGGCTCTAAAAGGCCGTGTGTAAATGCTGTTTGACTCTCCACCCCTCCCCACACTTAATTGCAGAGGTTTGTCCTTTGCTGCTGCTACTGCTTATAACATGCATGCGCGAGAGGAGATCATTTAGAACAATCAAGGAAGGCGCGCAACAGTGCAAGGCCGTACTGTACGGCTGAGGCGGCCTGGTCCTGGGGCCGCACCTTCACCAGGTCGGCGACGGCGCCCTCCACGTAGAGCCGCGCCGTCATCGATGACGCCCAGCGGCCCGCGACCAGCGTGGCCTCCATCGAAGACGACTTCAGGAAAAAGTCGGAAGCGCCTCCGCGGCGGCACGAATGCCACGAGGACGGGCCTGGTAGCAGCAGCCCGCGCGCCAGGGCCGCCAGCGCGCTCCTCAGCTGCGCGGGCGACCGCCGCGACAGAGGCTCGTCGGCGCGCCGATGCCGCACAACCAGCCGCAGCATCTCCTTTGCGACTCGCGAGCGGATGACCACGGCCTCGGCGCCATCTTTGCCCGCCGTCGTCTTGGACGTGTTGATACGGAGGACGATGACTTCGCCTCGATCCATCACATCCTGCCCGCGGAGGGCGAAGGCCTCGCCGCCGCGCAGCATGCCCTCGAAGCCGATGAGGAGCAAGGCGCCCACGTCGAACGCCGCCGCCTCCGCTGCCAGGCCAGCCATGGCCCCCGCAATCTCGGGCGTGAACGGCAGAACCCGGCCTGCAGGCTCGGCGCGGCGCCACGCCTTCAGCAGCGCCCAGGAGAGGTCCAGGCGCCGCCGCAGCCTGGGCACCGCAAAGATCACGCCCGCCACAGTGTTATTGGCGAGCGCGATGCCAGCTCCCTCGCTCCACTGTGCCTCAAGGAATTTGGCGACGAGGCTGTCGGCATCCTCCCCGTCGTCGCCGAGGGCTCCGATATCCTGGGGGCTCACCTCGTAGTGCCTCAGGAGCTCTCGGACCGCAGCGGCATATCTCCTTCGGGTCGCAGCGCCGACCCGCAGCGATGCCAGCGTCTGCGTGCGCTGGCTCCGCTGCTTTAGCACAGCAGCCGCGCGCCGCGCGGGCGCGCGACGGGCGGCCCTGCGGCGCGCCTCCTGAGCCGCGACCCACGCCACATATTCCTCGACGGCTCGTCTGCAGGCGGCGGCTGCTGCTGCGGCCCTTGGTGACGATGGCCGCGACCACTTGGCTGTCCACGAGGTGCAGCCAGCGCGAGCCGTGCCGCGCTGACTTGCGCGCCCTCCAGCGCAGCGCCGCCAGCGTCGCCTGCAGCTCGCGCGCGTTGATGTGCGCGCGCCTCTCCCGCGGCCGCGCCATGCTCAGGACGACTCGCCAACGCCACACGAAAGGGCCCAGGCTCGACCTCGGCCAACCTCTTGCACGGTAGGACAGGCCGCAGTCGAGGCGGATGTCCGAGCCGCCCTTTTCCGCCCGGCTGAGGTAGTGCAGGACCAGGGACCTCGCCTCTTCGGTGTCCGGGATGCCCGCGCTGTCCTCGAAGGTCCCGCACTGGTCCCAGGTCTCGCGGCACTGGCCCACGTGCGCCAGCTCCTCGACCGCGAAGGGCCGCTCTAGAGCCCCTTCCGCCAGGAGGACGTGCTGCGAAGCCCATGCCACGGCGTGCACGCTGAAGCTGTTGCCGAGGAGGAAACACCTGGCGTCCGCCGCGTCGATCGGGTTCGAGCCTTTCGTGGCTGCGGCGGTGTAGCTGACATCGAATCCCAGCAACCGCTCTCTTTCCTCGCAGCTCGGGAGTCGTCTAGGCCGATCGCTAGCAAGGCATCGCAGAAGGTTTTTGTCCTCGTACAGCGAAACATGATAGCGAAAGGAGTCGGCCTGCCAACGGCTTCTAGCCTCGCTCGTGGCCTGGGCGAGCCCACGCGGGGCTGACGGGAAGCTCGGCAGCGGCCTGCAGCACACGAGCGTCGGGAACGGGGCAGGGCGCCCGTCCCAGCGCCAGCCGGCGCCCTCCCAGTCGAAGTCAATCGCCGCGCCCGTCTCTGCAACGACCTCCAAGCAGAAGCCCCTGTCGACGATGCTGTGCGGCTCCGCGAGCTGCAGCTGCCAGCTGAGCCAGTAGAGCCGCGGCCTTCGGCACGGAACGAGGGCCGACGAGCAGATCAAGTAGGGCACAACCTGCGTGCGCTCGGTGATCGCACGGACGTTGGCCTCCGACATGCTGGCCACGTTCTCGAGCAGAGAGTAAAGCTTCCTGTCGAAGGCCCTCCGCAGGAGGCTGAAGATCCTCGGGACTTCGAAGAACAGCGAGCTTTTGCGTCCTCGTAGGCCGCCTCCGCTCGCGTTGAGGCGAGACAGGTCCCGGCATGGACTGCCAGCGCCCGCGACGCAGACGTCGACGACATGGCCAAAGGCGGCGACCAGGTCCTCGACGCAGCGCTCGTCAACGCGCGTGACGTCGCCCCAGTCGATCGCTCCTGGCCAGCGCAGCCTGACCACCCGCCTGGCCCCCGCGTCCGTCTCGGCCGCGACGTAGGCGACAATCCGCACGGGCAGCCGCGAGAAGGCCGCAGCGAGGCCCCCGATGCCGTCGAACAGGCCCACCACAAGCACGTTGAGCACTCTGACGACGACTGATGCCGGGATGCGAGGGTTCGACGTCGCCCACAGGCGCCGCGGGTCCGTCGGCATGTTCAGGAGCCGCGCCCCAACTCCGAGGTGATCTGCAACTTCGCCAGCTGCCCCGAGTGCCGTGTGAGCCTCGAGCCTCAAGCCCGTGGACGCGCAGACGCCGCCACCGAACTCCGAGGCGCCCGACACGGTGGCCACGCCGTCGAGGTGGCTGCGCAGGGAGGTGGCAGCCGCAGGCAACAGCATGAGGCTGAGGACCAGTTCCTCCACCATCTCGGCGTTGTAGCGCACAGCTGTGCGCGCGCCTGAGAGCGCCCAGATGGAGTTCAGCAGGCCGAAGAGCGGGCGCCTGAACTCGAACGCCCGCACGAGCTTCCCGAGGACCGTCATGCACACCCGCCGCGGCACAGTCTCCAGCGCCCGCGTCGCGAGGCAGAGGGCCGCAGTGGCCAAGACCTTTTGCCGCGGCGCCGCAAGCCTCCCGCTCTCTCCGTCGATGTCCGCGCCCATGCGCTCGACCCGCAGCTGGCGCAGGTGCGCCTTCTCGGCCGAGTACGCAACGCCAGCCCGCCGGTAGCTTTCTCTTGCATGCTGCTGCAGGTCGGCCTCAGTGCCTATCATCTGGCGAGCGCGCACTTCCTCGATGTAGACCTGCCACCAGCCGGCATCGCGCCCGCTGCCTGCCTCGACGGTGGGGCGGGCCTCGTCCTTCCGCCACTCCAGGTCAGGCGGCGAGCCCGCGCCTGACGGCGGCGGCAGGCGGCACAGCCTGCGGTGGATATGCTGGTAGACGGGCACGGCCAGCATCCAGCCCATCGCGACGACGGCGGACGCGAGGTGCACCTGGCGCTCGGGGCGGCCGAACAGCGCGCCAGGGAGCGGCCTCCCCACCGCCGTGTACGGGTGCCAGGCCGCGGGCGCCCTCCAGACGAAGAAGGCACCCTTCTGGTCGTCGCCCGACCACAGCAGCAGCTTCCCCTCGGGAAGGTGAAGCGAGGCAGCACCGACGCCTCGCCCACGTGCGGCTTGAGCAGAGCGTTGCCTGGCACCATGTTCAAGATGAGCCTGGTGACGCGGGCGGCCCCAGGGCCTGGCACGCCCTTCTTCTCGACCGCGAAGAGGCCGTTGAGAAGCAGCTCGCCCCGCACCCGGATGAGCCTCTCCTCGGGCAGCGCCGTGAAGATCCCGAGGTCAACGAGGTGAACGGCGAGCTCACGCCACCCCGCCTCGGAGTCGACGTTGACCCTCGCCCGCGGCAGGGGGGCGGGCCAGTCTGCCTCGGGCAGGAGGGCCCTTTCCGGCGCCGAGAGCCATTCTGCAACGTCGGGCCCCACGAAGTCCAGCGCCTCCAGCGTCGCAGCGTGCTCGGCCTGAGGCAGCCCTGGGGCCAGCTCCGCGAGTACGCAGGGCAACGCCTTCGCAACCGGCTCACCCGCGTAGTCGACCGTCGACTCAGCCAGGGCCGCACTCGCGGAGGGGACGACGACCTGGTTGAACGGGTCCCCGACGAAGCTCATGACGCGCTCCCGCAAGAAAGCCAGGGGCCGCTCCTGCGCCAGCGACAAACGCGGGTGGTGCCTCCAAGCCTCCTTGCAGCGGCCGCAGTACAGGTAGTTGAGGCCGACCACCACCACAAAGAGCCAGGCCTCCTCCATCCATGGCCTGACGCGCGACAGGCCGACTCCGCGGGGCACATCCCTTCATTTTGCTGTCCGACCAGCGCCTGGCAGCCGTAACATCAGGTAGGGGCAGCGGCAGAAGGTCGCGAACGCGAATGCCGCTCCCGCAAAGTGTGGTCACGTGCGCTGAGAACTGTATGCAGATGTATCCCAGGCTGCCAGGGTGGTACTCCACGAGCTGCATCAAGTGGATCGCGAAGTCGACCTCCGAGACCTCCGCGCCGAAGCGGCCGCCGATCGAGGCCCGCCAGCTGGCCGCCTCGCCAGCGCCAGCCACAGGGGTAGCAGCCGCCCCCGCCGCGCCCCCGCCTGCGGCTGCGGCGCTTGCCGCAGGGGTAGCCGCCGCCTCAGGCGCCTCCAGCGGCAGCGACCCAGGCGGCGCCGCCTCAGCCCCGACGGCCAGGATTCTGGGCCCAGAGCGCGGCGGCCCAGAATCGCTCGGGCACGCCGCTGGGGCCGCCGCGGCCGCCGCGGGCGCCGCGGCCAGGATTCTGGGCCCAGAGCGCGGCGGCCCAGAATCGCTCCGGCACGCCGCTGGGGCCGCCGGGGCCGCCGGGGGCGCCGCGGCCAGGATTCTGGGCCCAGAGCGCGGCGGCCCAGAATCGCTCCGGCACGCTGCTGGGGCCGCCGGGGCCGCCACGGGCGCCGCGGCCAGGATTCTGGGCCCAGAGCGCGGCGGCCCAGAATCGCTCCGGCACGCTGCTGGGGCCGCCGGGGGCGCCGCCGGCGTCCCAATCACTTGCGGTGGGCCCTCATGGCCTCCAGCAAGCGCGCGCTGTAGGCCTTCGCCGTCTCGCCTTCCTTCTTCGGCCACCTCGTCTTCGCGGCCCTCCAGCCGATCTTGTCCTCCGCGGAGCGATCGTCGAGCTGCGCCACGCGCTGCCCCGGCGGCCGCCCAGCCTTGGCCGCGCCCGACGCCGCCGCGGGCCGCGGGGACAGGCGGCCGAGCTGCTCCCGCGCTGCAGCGGGGGGTTCCCCCCCCGCACGGCCTGCAGGAGGAGGCGCCAACGGCGGGCGCGCCTCCTCCCGGCCAGACCCCTAGCCCGGCTTCCGCAGCTTCGCCGACAGCTCCTCCAGCTTGAGCTCGCCCATCTCGATGCTGCGGATCATCTCCTCCTCCTCGTTCCTGAGCGTCGTCGGCTGGTCGCGGGCAGGGATCAGCTCGAGCCACTTCGCCGCGTGCCAGTGGCCGTCGCCAACGGCGGTCTGGAGCGCCTTCAGTCGCTGGGTCAGCAGGTCCAGGGTCTGCGCCGTCTTGCCCTGGAGCAGGCAGTCGATCGCCTCCGACAGCGTCCGCATCTCGCGGTAGGCCTCGGAGCCGATCTGCGTCACCGGATTCTGCGGCAGGTAGACTGTG